GCTTCCCGCGTAAGGTCGTGTGTAAGCGCCCTCTTTTCCTCGGCGTGCCACGCTGGCGGCCTTCGCAAGCCGCGGCGTAAGGTCGCCACGTCTCCTCGCGTAGGACCTTTCCGCTTTTGTTGCTTATGCTTCGAGGAAGGAAAGCGTTGGCATAATCGCCTCGCCGATGCGTGCCGATCCGGCGCACGCTCCCATCCGATCCGATTTCCCGATCCGCTGCTGACCGACCCTGCCCAGCCCAGGTCGGACGGGGCTCGGACGCGGCTAGCTCCGTTCCAGAGCGTTCCGGAACCGCTCTCAGAGCGTTCCTCGGCGCTCTGAGTCGGGGGCGGCAAAGAGGGGGGTGATGACTTTTGGGGGGGGGGATATCATGGCGGGGGCCATGATATTTCCCCAGATGTCATGGCGCCTCTTCTTATTTCATTGCGTCCCTGGTCCCCCCCGCTGGGCCGCGCACGTGCCGCCGGTCATGATTTGCACCCCCCCCTCTTGGACACCCCCCTCTTGGCCGCTCCCGATTGAGAAGACCGCGGCGCCCGAGATATATGTCCTCCAGAGCCGCCGGGCTTCCAGCGATTCTCGACCTGTCCTCACCCGATTTCAGCCTCGTCCTGGCTTCGTTTCAGGCCCTGGGCTGGGCGGGGCGACGCCGCCACGCTCCGCTGCTGCCGAGGGCTCGTCTGGCTGCGGGTGCCCGTGGCCTCTGGCCGGCTCCGCCGCCGTCGGCCCCCGGGTTGCCTCGCGTAGGGGAACAAGAAGTGACATGGACATAAGAACTCGGAGGTCCGCGCGGATTTCTCGGATCGGCGCTGGGGCCCCCCGGCGGCGCCTCTGGCGCCGCTCCTGGCGCGCTCCGCGCGCCAGAGAACAAATCCAGCGCCGATCCGAGAAGTCCGCGCGGACCTCCGAGTTCTTATGTTTATGCCACTTTTTGTTCCCTTATCGAGGCTCGGCGTCGTGGCGTTTTTGCCCGTCCATTGCAGTCTTTAGTTGTTCGTTTGCTCCGCGGTGTCGCCGTCCAGAGGCCCGTCGTCGAGCCCCGGGGCCGCCAGAAGACGATTCGGGATGAGCAAAACCCATGCAGGGTGAGGGAAACAAGAAAATCAACCCAAACACTGGGAAAACCATGACAAGCAGAGCCCCCAAGCAAAACAACCAACGAAACCAAGGCCTTGACTGGTTTTCAGAACCTAAGGTGTTCCAATGTTTCCCTTTCGAAGCCACTTCCACTGGGACTCCTATTGGAATCGAATCAGAGTCCCATTGGAATTGAGCAGATCCCAGATCCAGCTGGGAAGGGATCGAGAGTTTTTTGTCTAGGGACCCCGTATCAAAAATACACGACGTCGTAGGTTCGTGCCCCTCCCTCCATCTCTTCCTCCCTCCCTCCCTCCCTCCCTCCCTAACTCCCTCTGTATGATGCGTTTCTCCCACACTCCTGCGCACTCCCCCCATTCAGATGACCCGAGGAGTTCCCCCCTGCATTTCCTCTTCCTCCTCTTCCACCACCTCTCTGGATCGTCTCTATCAGCGCCGATTTCACTATCTTCTTATTTTTCTCGGCCCTTCGTCATGCAATTTGAAGTTCTGGCAAGGGAGTGGACGCCGACCATGCCGGGTCCTTGGAGATTGAGCAGGACCATTTTACTCTAGCTCTGCTCCTCATCATGGCGCCTTCCTGATTTCGCCTCTTTTGTGAGCCTAACTTTTCGCTTGCTTTCTTCGCCACTTTCTGTTTCACATTGTGTTGACACAACGTCTTATTCCGGGTGGCTGCACCTCACATTGAATTCGCTGGTAGTGCAGACTTCATGTGATCATGCCCTGGACATGCGCATGGTCTGGCGATCCAGCGTGAGACCACGCCAGACGCGCTTTGGCAGTTCAGCGACCCCATCCGCATCGCATTCATACCCATTCGCAGCCTCATGGGACGGACCTTTCCCAGATGCCCCGCTTCGGAGTGCAAGGCGGCCCTCGAGAGGAAGTGCTCGGATGCTTGGCCACGGGCGATCCAGTTCACGGGTTGGATCCCATCTGCCCCAAGCAGTACCCATCTGTCGTTGAAAGTAGGTATTTGTGGATGCCCAGATTCCAATCTACTTTCAGCGCCTTCCTACTTCAATGATCGAGCGGCTTCACCGTTTCCGTCCTCCTTGGGGGGGCGGACGGAACCCAATCTGCTTTCAACGCCTTCCTGCTTCATGTGTCTACCTACGTCTTCCGACCGATGGGTAATTCTTTGCACTTTGGGGTTCTTGCTGGGCTCCCAGGATACCTGGCTGGGTCTGCCGGGGTTCTCGCCCGATGTGCGCCCGTGGGTGCTCTCTGGGCGCCCCGTGCGCTGGGGGGGGGGGGTCTGCCGGGGCCTCCGGCGGTTGGCGCCTCGTGCGCTGGCTGGGTCCTGCCGGTGTTCGGCCGGCGTGCCTCGTGCGGTGGCTCGCGCTTTCCGGGTGGTGCACGGCTTGCGCCGCGCAGCTTGCACCACGTTGATTGCACCGCGTAGCTTGCACCCCACGGCTGGCGCCCCACAGATGGCACCACGCAGAGGCCCCACCGAGAGGGCAGGATCCCCCTGCTCGGAGTCCATGCCGGCAAGCGCAGCTGCGCAATCGTTGCTCGCGGGGGCAGGGGGAGGGAGGAGGAGGGGGAGGGAGGAGGGGGAGAGGGAGGGGGGAGGGGCAGGCGGCGGCGGCGGCGGAGGAGGAGGAGGCGGAGGAGGAGGACGAGGAGGAAGAGGAGGAGGAAGAGGAGGAGGAGAAACAATAAAGATAACAATAATATTATTACGAGTAGTATGAATCATAGGAAGAGTAATATGAAGAATCGTACGAAAAACAATGCGACTACTACTACTACTACTACTACTACTACTACCACTACCACCACCACCACCACCACCACCACCACCACCACCACCACTATCACTACTACTACTACTACTAATACTACTATACTACTATCTACTACTACTACTACACTACTACTACTACTACTTATTACTTATTACCTTACTATCTACACCTACTACCTACTACCCTACTACCTACTACCTAATACTACTACCTAATACGTTACTACCTACTAAACGTACTACTATACACTACTACTAATACTACTACTACTTAAACTACTAATATACTACTACACTTACTTACTACTACTACTTACTACTACTACTGTTTTTTTTTTTTTATAAAACTTTTAATTCACTACTACTACTACTACTACTACCTACTATCACTATCTACATCAACTACTACTACCTACTACCTACTACCTACTACCTACTACCTACTACCTACTACCTACTACCTACTACCTACTACCTACTACCTACTACCTACTACCTACTACTACTACTACTACTACTACTACTACTACTGATACTACTACTACTAGTAACAAGAGTAATATTTCTAATATTAATGGAAGTATGATTGACATAATAATAACACACACATGCGAACAATAACACTACTAACAACATTACTACTGATACTACTAATGCTAATACGAATGATACTCATAAGAAGAGGATGAGGATTCATACTAATAATAATTATAAAAGGAGGGGGAGGATTTGTAGGAGGAGGACAAGGAATACTAATAATAATAATACGAATAATGACAGTAATCATAATACTAATAAGAATAATACTAATAAGAATAAGACGAATACTAATAATAATAATAATACGAATAATAATTTTAATAATCGTAGTAAAAATAATAATAGTAATAATAATAGTAGTAGTAATAGTAGTAGTAGTAATAATAATAATACTAATAATAATACTAATAATAATACTAATAATAATACTAATATTACTAATCATACTAAACATACTAATAATGATAATGAGAAGAAGAGGAGGAGGAGGAGGAGGAGGAGGAGGAGGAGCGAGGAGGAGGAGGAGGAGGAGGAGGAGGGCTGCCGCTGCTGGGGTCAGGGCGGCGTGGTGCAGCACGGGGCGGCTGGGCAGGGTGGCCAGGGCAGGACGCTCGGCCCTTCGGGCTCCAGGCCAGCTCTTCGCCGGTCTGTCAGGCGATGTGCGCCTTCGCAGAGCTTCCAGCCAGCCTCGCGACCCTCCCCAGCCACGCGCAGAGGGGGGTAGGGGGAGGGTGGAAGGCTTCTTAGAGGCATCCCTGCTTCTTAGAAGGCGCGGGCCTTGTCTATAGACGTGAGGCCGGGTCCTCCTAAGAAGCAGGGCAGGGTGCTTCTGAGAAGCCTTCCCCCCTCCCCCTACCCCCCGTTTGCGCGCCGCCAACCTCCACTTCTTCGGATGCAGCTCCTGGGAGGTTAGATTCTGACTTGGGCCCTGGTCCGAAATCTGGTTTAGTCTTGCCTGATCCCGCTTAGTCCGCGGCCTAATCCCGCTTAAGCCAGCTTCATCCCTCTTGATCCGCGGCCTAATCCCGCGTAGCAGCCCCCCATTGGGGTTTAATCCTCCTGAATTCTTCCGATGCTTCCGAGCACTTCCACCCTTGCGGCATGCTCGCGCGGTGTCGACCCTGCGGCTACCCCAGCGCAGGAGTTCAAGGTTGAACGCCGCCAGTGGCCAGGAATCGGTCGACATCGACCGATCCGTACTATCAGAAAGCCGCGATCGTTCCAGGCGATGGTTCAGGATGCAACGATCCACGGGGTGTCAGAAACTAACGCCCAAGTTGCCACGATACGAAGCTGCCATACTGCGCTCACATGCTCCCAAGTATTTGGGATGAAACTCCTGGGAGGTGAAAACGCAGCATGGGCGCTGGTATTCCCGTGGTCGAAACCGACGTACTCCGGCATCATCCCAGTTTGATGTTGCTTTATCCCGTTGAGTCCAGCCTAATCTGGTTGAGTCCTGGGCTTGATCAGGGCTAATGTGGTTCAGTGTTTCTTTATTTGGGCTCAATAAATCGTTCCCGCGAAGACCTCCCAGGAGTTGCCTCCTAAAAGTATGAGCTCCGTTCACAGTCTGCCCCTTCCCTTCCCGTTTGCCGCTCGGGAGGAGTTCTGCCAGACGCAGCTGGCGCTGCTGCACCTGCGGCCAGCGGCTCAGCCTCTCCACCGTCCAGGTCTCTGCCTGCCAATTGCAAGTTGTTAGCCAGGAGGAGGAGGGGAAGGAGGAGGAGGAGGAGGAGGAGCTGGGGTATGAGAAGGATGAGGATGACGAGGATGATGATGGTGATGATAATGATGAGGATGCTGAGGATGATGAGGATGAGGATGCTGCTGCTGCTGCTGATGACAATGCGGATCATGATGGTGATGATCCTGATGCTGCTGCTGCTGATGATGATGATGATGATGGTGCTGATGATCATGGCAATGATGATTCTGATCCTGATGATGATGGTGATGATGATGCTGGTGATGATGCTGATGATGCTGATGGTGGTGGTGATGGTGGTGGTGGTAGTGATGATCACGATGACGTTGACAACGACGATGACGACGATGATGCTGATGATGATGATGATGACAATGATGCTGCTGCTGATGATGCTGATGCTGATGCTGATGATGATTATGATGCTGATGCTGCTGATGCTGCTGCTGCTGATGACGTTGGGGATGGGGATTGTTGAGGATGTTGATGACGATTGTGATGACGATGCCGATGACGATGCTGCTGCTGCTGATGATCATGCTAATGACGATACTGCTGCTGATGATGATGCTGATGATGATGATGATGATGATGATGATGATGATGATGATGATGATGACGCTAATGATGATGATGATGATGATGATGATGATGATGATGATGATGATGATGATGATGATGATGATGATGCTGATGATGCTGATGATGATGCTTCTGCTGTTGATGCTGACGATGATGCTGATGATGATGATGCTGATTATGTTGATACTGATGATGATGCTGATGCTGATGGTGATGATGATGCTGCTCCTGATGATGACGATGCCGGCGATGACGACGATGATGCTGCTGCTGATGCTGTGAATGAGGATGAGGATGATGATGATGATGATGATGATGATGATGACGATGGTGGTGGTGGTGGCGATGATCTTGATTGTGGTGGTGGTGGTGCTGGTGATGTTGACGATGGTGATGGCGGTAATGCTGCTGATGGTGATCATGATGCTGATCATAGTATTTGTGCTGGTAGTTATGCTGCTGCTGATGATGCTGATGCTGATGCTGAATGCCGATGCAGCTGTGATGATGATGCTGATGCTGAGGTTGATGCTGATGATGAGGATGATGCTTTTTCTTGTATGATTGTATGATGGTGTGACGATGATGCTGATGATGATGATACTGATGCTGATGCTGATGCTGATGCTGATGATGAGGCTGATGATGATGATCATGTTGATGATGCTGCTGCTGATGATGATGCTGATGATGCTGATGACGATGATGATGCTGATGATGATGCCGCTGATACCGCTGATGCTGATGATGACGAGGATGATGGTGATGGTGCAGCTGCTGCTGCTACTGCTGCTGCTGATGATGCTGATGATGATGATGATGCTGCTGCTGCTGCTGCTGATGATGATGATGATGATGATGATGATGATGAGGATTGTGCTGCTGCTGATGATGCTGCCGATGAGGGATGAGGAAGAGGAAGAGGAGGAGGAGGAGGAGGAGGAGGAGGAGGAGGAATAGGCGGAAGAGGAGGAGGAGGAGGAGGAGGAGGAGGAGGAGGAGGAGGAGGAGGAGGAGGAGGAGGAGGAGGAAGAGCCAGTTCTTTGCTGTTCGACGGGGGCGGCCTCCTGCGACGGCGGGGGGGACTTCTTAGAGGGACGGTGTCTCCTTAGAAACCCTCGCAGCTTCCGAGAGGCATTCTTAGAAGCTCCTATGCCCTTCCAAGGGTGCCCCCCCCTCTGAGGAGCCCCATGCCTTGTTGAAGGCCAGCCCTCCTTGCGCCACCCCGTCGGTGCGAGCCGCCACTGCCTCTCCTCTCTGCCTGCCGGGAGGCGGGCGCGATCCCGACCGCTGAGCTGGGAGCCAGTCTCGAGCGGGCACTGTGCAGAGGCGCGTCGGGGACGGCCCTCTGTCTCCTCCTGGTTCCGGCCTCCGCCTGCCTCCTCCTCCCGTCTGGGAGCGCGCGGGGGGGGGTGGTGTGGTGGAGGGGGGAGGAGGGGGAGGACGGGGGGATGAGGAGGGAGGGGACGGGATCGAGGAGGCAGCATGCCCCGCCATCATTCGCCTGCCCCCCATCCTCACCACTTCATCCACGTGCCCTGTGACCCCCTCGCTCTCCCTTCCCCTTTGTATCCATGTGGCGGGGTCTGGCTCCTCCCCTGCCACCTCTTGACTGTGCATCGCCATGTAGGCGTCTGGATTTGTGGTCGCTGCCGCCCTGTCTGTCCTTTCCCCGCCCCTGCACGCTGGCCAATTCGCTTCTCGGTGCCCCCGTTTAGCTCTAGCGCCGGTGCAGCAACTCTGCCTCGCCGCCGACGAAAAAAGCTTTGTGGTCGATGTGGGGCGGTTGCCAAAAGGCAGCTGCGGGCACCGGGGAAACAGGGCGCCTATGTCCTGACTCCCACGGGCAGAGAATGCCTCGATCGAGCTCGAGCAGGCTTGTGCCCCAAAGCCCTCGGCCGCGCCGGGAAGGCCCAGCGAGGCCAAGAGGTGAAAAGTCTGATCGTAATGATCGTTTTCTTATCCCTTTGTCTTGCCGAGCGGCGCGGGCCCTCGCACCCCCTCCCCCCCCATGGAGTAGATCTTGGCTGATTTTGGCGCCTGTTTTAAGCAGGTGGAGTCTCCCCCATAGGACGCAATGTTGCAAACAGTCGCGTTAAGCCGAAGCCTGGAGCCAGACCCCCCCTCCCCCCCCTCCGCCCAATGTCGAAACGTCGAGTGAGAAAACATTATTGCATCGCCACTGGTTCGCACTTAGCTTGGAAGTGGCGTTCCCGCGCGGGCGCGGCGCATGACTTCGTTCGTTCGCCGAATCGAAGGAACGCGGCAACGCCAGCGGGGCGCACGAGTTCGGACGAAATGCTGATCTCGTCCAAGCGCCGCGCGATCTGTGATCGAAACTGGCAGTGCTGTGTCGGCGCGGCGCATGCTTCGTCTCCGCCGCGCTCGTCGGAAGCTCTGCTGCCTCCGCCAACGGAGGGCCCGCGTGGGTTTCCCTTCGCCAGTTCGTCGGAAGGCGGACCGCGCGCGAGCTCCTTCCGTTCGCGAGGCGGGAATCAGGAAGGGAAAAAACACACAGCCACAATCAACAGTCGACTCCTTGGAAACTGTGGGAACATGTGGGAATGTGGGGGGGAAGAGGAAAGCCCAGAGAGCATATGGGGAATTGTGGGGGATCCTGGGATTTGTGTCTGTTTATTTAATCGCTTCGCTCATTCCGCCGGCCCTGGAGCGCTATTTGGGGCCTCTTGGGGCCGTCTTGGGGGCCTCTTGGGGGCTTCTTGGGAGCGTCTTGGGGCTCCTTGGCGGCGTATTGGGCTCCCCTGGGGCCTCTTGAGGGTCCTTCTCCTTTCTTCTCCTTTTTTTCTATCTCTTCATTCTCTCTCTCTCTCTCTCTTCTTTTTTCCTCTCCTTCTCTTTTTTACTTCTCTTCTATTTCTCTTCTCGCTTCCTCTTCCTCTTTCTGCTCCTTGTTCTTCCTCCTTTCTTCTCTTTTATCCTCCTCCTTCTCTGCTCTCTCCTATTTCTTCTCTTTTCTCTCTTTCCTTTCTCTCCTATCCCTTTTTCTTTCTGCTTCTTCTTGGGGGGGCCCCTTGGGGCGGGAGGTGGGTTAGTCGATTGCAGCCCCCCCCTCGGAGGCCACGATCCTCGTGAGGGGTGGCGAAAAATAGCCTCTCCCCTGGGGATCGCCCGGGGATCAGTCGGGGATCGGCCGGGGCACTTTTCGTCCGGGGCCCCCCAGGGGCCGCCCCGCGCGCGCGAGCTAGCACGCCTCTGGCCCGTTGGGCCGGCGAATTTGTGTCCCTGGGCCCCTTTAGGAAACGCGTCCCAGCCCCACAGTTGGTCCTTCGAGAAGCACCCGCGGCGCGGCGTGCACCCACCGGTGTGAGTCCGCGCCGCCGGCGCACCAATCGCCTGTGTCTTGGCATCGCTCGGACGTGTGCATTTTTCCTTCGGCGAGGACCATCGAGGAGCATCCTTGATCATTTGGCGAAAAAGCCACGCACGAAACTGAAAAACACAGGGAATGGACGTCCAAGCGATGGCGAGGTGTGCACCGCAGCACGTGCAGCCGGGCCGCTGAAGAAGGAACCTTTTTGTTGTGGAGGGGCTCAGTGTTCCTGGATTGCTTTACAGTTTGCCCTCGGTTTCCCGCAGGTTCAGATGTTCGACGGGGACGCGAAGTCTTCACTTCTATGGAAGAAAAGGGTCCTCGTTCCTTACTTGGGGTTCCTCAGTACAGCGTTTCGACCAGAGGAAGGGGAGTCCAGGCCCCCCCTCTGTACGATCGTTAGCGTTACCCTGGGGGGGGGGTCCCGGGTAAAGGGCGCTACCCTGGAGAGGAACAAACATACGATCACTTAGTACTCTCGCGGATGGATTGCTGATGCGATCCGATCCGGTCCCCCCCCGCCGCTTCGAGGTCGGCGGATGTCCCGTAGCAGGCACTTTCGCGGACCACCGCTCCGATGCGATCCGATCCGGTTCCCCCTCGGAGGAGGAGGAGGAGGAGGAGGAGGAGGACGAGGAGAAGGAGGAGGATGAGGGGGAGGAGGAGGAGGAGGAGGAGGAGAAGGAGGAGGAGGAGGACAAGGAAGAGGAGGAGGAGGAGGAGGAGGAGGAGCATGAGGAGGAACATGAACAGGAGAAAACGGAGGAGGATGATGAGGAGGAGAAGGAGGAGGAGGGGGAGGTGGATGAGGAACATGGAGGAGGATGAACATGAAGGAGTCTGCTGAGGCTGCTGATGATGCGCCCTGTGTCTCCAGGGCCTGCCACGCTGGGCTAGCACCTCGGCCGACGCCGAGGCGCATGCGGCCGAGCCAATGCCCAGCCGTCAAAACTTCAGGATAGTACCTCGGACCGACGCCGAGCATCTGCTCGGCACCAGCGCCGAGCAGATGCCCCGCCTGGAAGCTTGGAGCCACCCGACGGCGACTGAGAATTGAGGAAGTACCAGCCGCGGCGAGAGGGCGAATCAGGGCCAATCAGAAAATGGAGCAAGCCCCCACGCAACCCGCCTGGCAGGGAGACACAGGTCTCCCTACCATCACCTCTCCGCTGCTCCCGCGAACCAGCGCTCCTCAGGCCCCCGCGGCCTTCTGCGGGGCCTCCTCGCTGAAATAATCATTGAGTCTAGGGCCACGGCGCTGCCTGGCCAAAGCCATGAGCCTCGCCGTGTCAGTGTCCTCTCCCATGGCCTCGAGGTCTAGAGCCTTGCCCTTGGCGTAGCCCTTGCCCTTGGCCTTGTCCTTACCCTTGACCGTGCGCTTGCTACCGCACCGCTTGGACTCGAGGCCAGTGCCCGCGAGCCTTCCATCATCAGTAGGCACAGCTTCATCATCACCTGCTTCTTCTTCGCTGCCCTTGTGCACCATCTCCGTCTCTATCGGCTTGCCGTGGTTAACGAATAACGCATCGAACTTCAAGTTGTCGTGCTCGATGAAGTGGCTTTTGCCTTTGCCTAACCCCCTCCAATGTCCTCGCAAATGTACTCGAACGTCTTGTCAGAGACCACCTT